AGCCGAGGAGTTGAACTCGGGGCAACCGAGAACAAATCCAGTGAGTGGCAAGGAGGAAGACTTGAACCCAGGCCACCGGATTACAAGTCCAGCACCCTAACCACTCGGCCACGCCGCCTCCTCCCACCAAGTCGATTGTCACGTAACACATTCACGCAAATGATGACATTGTCACGCAATTCCTTCAAGAAAGATTTCGTGACGATACAGGTAGCGCCATAGAACCTATTTACACACTTACTGTTCTGCAGAAGCTGGAATGTTGTTGTGGTGATTCTTTGAAATACTAGAAGTATGGTGTGGTAATGTTCATCCACCATACCGTACATACCTATCAGCTAAAAGATAGACAAAAAACTTTTGAGGGTATTACTTTACCCCATAGAGGGTTAGTCTCTAAGGAAACCGTAGTGCGAAGTCAGCGGGGGGGGAGGGGGAGGGGGGTCGTAACAAGCTAATTTATTTTTATCAACTGAGTTGATAATGTCTGTTGGCCACCGTAAAAAGTTTCTAAAGCTAGAAACTCTTTAATAAATGAATTTGAATATATGAAAATCATATATGTGTACTGAAGTTTCATGAAATGTATGAAAGCGGTCTTTGCGGTAATAAACCCTACTTATGTAGTAGTGGAACTAAGGCCTGAAATAAATTCAGGCCTCTACGGGAATTGAACCCATGACCTTTACGAGACCGGTGCAATGCTCTACCAACTGAGCTAACAATCCAACTGGGAGCTGGTCATTATGTTGGTTCGTATTAAACCCGACGAGGTGATAAATCAATAAATTTGAATATGTGAAAATCATATATGTGTACTGCAGTTTCATGAAATGTACGAAAGCGATCCTCGCAGTGATAAACCCTTTACGGTGGCCACTTCAGCAACTCAGTTAATAAAACCGAATCATCTGGAAAATCATGATGGTCGCTGATCAACACTTGTCTGCCAGATAAAGGTATTCTTACCGTAGAAGCTACATCCAGAATTCCACTGGTTGGAGAAACGGAGAAATATCCGACCAGAAGTTCAGACAGACCAGACACAAGTCCACCCATGAAGTCTCTAATTGTTCCAATGGCTCTCTCCAGGCACAGGCATAATTGCTATTCCACAGAGACAAATATCAAATGTTAAAAGCACGCACTGAGAGAGCAAATAACAGAAAGATTTAGCCAAGTCTGAAAGCGGCGCTCCAGTTAGCTTATGTTACTACCCTCTGCTTTATTAGAATTTCTCACTGGCTGTGACGAGCCGCCAAAGATCAAACAATAAATGAAACAAATGGATAATAGATTTAACAGAGCTTTGAAGAGAGAAAAAGCTGTGAGAATAACCTCCCCAGGCCTCAAAGGCCTCACTCTAAAGGACCTTGTCCAGTTATTTTTTTAGCAAAAGCCGGTAAGTGTCTGCCAGAAAAATTTCCCAGAGTGATTATTACGCCCTGGAAGACAATAGGCGTATATGATACGTCCACTGTTTCCAGATCGAATTGGAATTTAGGATGTTGGTTTTAGTAGATGGAGGAGAGGCGGAGGACCCGGAGAAAAACCCTTGGAGCAAGGACGAAAACTAACAACAAACTCAACCCACATGTTTCGGAGTCGAACCCAGGCCACAACGGTGGGAGGCGAGCGCTCTCACCATTGCGCCATCCCTGCTCCCCAAATAAACTCTATTAACCAATCACCTTCCAGTATTTCCCATGAAACTTCTCCTTACAATATTAAATCAAAATTACCCTGATATGTCATGACAACTGACAAAGTTGTCTGATATGGGGCGCTATCTTAAGATATCATTGGGTTCCTTCAATTATTTATAAGGACGTGTATACAACGAGTACAAGAGTAAGATCCAGGGAGCTGATTATTGTATACAATTATCGCCCAGTCGCTCAAGACGAAGAGAAAGTTCGCTCACTTGTTGAACTTTACAATCTTGCATCCAAGGAGCCATGGACTTCAGTGAGGGTAAGATATCGTTCAACACAACTGCAGCCTTTGAAATAAGAGAAAAATAGGTCAGCTTTAAACTACAGACGACACTGATTCGCATAACTGCCACAACTCAGCCTGGTTTCGTTACCCCCTCTGGATGGGATGAAAACCAATCCCAGCTTACCAACCCCATCCCACCCCCTCCATTCAACATTGAGAATTCCGACACAGCCCAATCAGACAACCCGTCCTTATCTAAAGAAAACGGCGTCATCAGAAATGCCACCGACATAGGAAGCTCTGAAAGGGGAAGGGAGTGTGGACAATAGGGGAAATAGAGCGCATAGAGTTCAATTTTAATGCGCTATATAAGAACTTATTATTAAATTAAATATGGGGAAATAAGGAGAAATAAGGGGGACTAGGGGGAATAGGGGGAATAGGAAGAATAGGGATAATACGGGAAATGGGGACAGTAGGAGGAATAGGGGGAATAGTGGAATAGAGAGAATAAGAGAAATAGGGAAAATAGGGGGAATAGATAGAATAGGGGAAATAGGGAGCCTAGGGGGAATAGGGGGAATGGGGGAAAGAAGGAGAATAGGGGAAAGAGGGGGAATAGAGGGAATAGAAAGAATAGGGGAAATAGGAAGCCTAGGGGAAATAGAGGGAATAGGCGAAAGAAGGAGAATAGGGGGAATATGGAGAAAAAGGGGAAAGGAAATAATCTGCTCATTAAAGCTATCTTTACTACTCACCGGATGAAGTTTATTCTCTATATTTTCATTTTCAGGGTCCAAGCATTTAAACAACACGACAAAGAGCCGGAGGTGAAACTGAAGATTAGCTTTTAGCTCGGCAGTGGGCTAGGGGAAGAAAAGAAGTGTACAACGATATAACAGTGCTAACACTGAAACATGTTGATAAAGCATTCATCAAAATAACTGGATGAGCAACGATGGGTAAAGCAAAATGGTTAATATACTTGTCTCTTCTCTTCAAAATAATGTTTATACAACTAAACAGTGAAACTATTTCAAGTAAGGAAAAAAGGTGGCTAAGTTGCGGTTTGTACACCTTAAAAAATTCAACCCCAATGTTGAGAAATGTGAAGTAACAAAGGTGTCACGCAGTCCTCAAAGATTGTATGACAATCCGAAGTGATGTTACCTGTTGCTGTACTATCTGAGCCAAGCCTTCCACGTATGGGGTGAATACTGCCTTCAGTTGTTCCACTGCTCCAGCAGAGTCTTGTACTGACAGCACATGCCCTATGCACTCAACACAGCGCATTCGTTCTTGTTCCTTTCAACAAAAATTAATATAGTTTGAGGATTTACCCCTCTTGCTGCAAAGGTTGTAAAGTACTCGTTGCGAATCCAACAATACACAAGACTCCTGTCAAATATGAAAATTTTAATGGAGTAGCTCACGATAACGTTCCAAGCTGCTCACTGCTAGATCGACGGCAAGCAAGCAGGATCTGGGGTTTGATTCATTGCAGGGACATAGACTCAAGAGGTCCTTTTTTTCTCAGACATTCAGTTGTTTATTTCTCTCGTAGTAAGAGCCCAAAGACATTCCACATTACTTTAGACAATAGAGTTACATCTACCTAGATAAAACAAAAACTTTTCCCAACTACAATGATGTTTTCAGAAATGAATTGCGCCAGAAAAAAAAAAAAGACAGACACATTTTCTCTTACCTCCATAACACCTCCGGACAGGCCAGCCTGGAGAGATGTAAAAACACTCTGGCTAAGTAACAGAACTACTGAGGTTAAAAACCACTAGAAAAATAAATATTTGCTGGTCACAGAAATAGGACTATCGTATGACATAGCATGTTTGTAGTAGCACAGCGACTAATCACCTGACAGTGCGTAAGAATCTCCATTAAGGACCCAGGCTCTAAATCCTGGACACACTCTTCACAGATGCCACGTAGGGCTTGGGTAGAAGCTGAGGCGAGATGCGCTTGAGACAATCCACCAAGTAATACAGGAAGTACTGAACGGAGATGATCAGGATGGCACTTAAGCCATTCTGAATAAGAACCTGAGAAAATGTGATTTTGAAACAATATATTAAGGCACATTTCGACTGAATGTTGTAATGCCAAAACCAAAGTAATCTTTACGCCGATGATACCAAGATTTTTAAGAGCATCGATTTTATCACAGACTGTAATACCATGTAATCCGACCTTAACCTTGTCAGCTGGTCCGCATCTTCTGGGCTCATATTTGATCAGTCCAAATGTAAATACCAGCGCATCACCCGAAAAAAAGAAAACACCTGTACGGTAAACCTCTACCATGAAAGAAACGCCTTTGGAATCTTGCGACAAAGAGAAAGACCTTGGGTGTGTGGGTGTCAAGCAATCTTACTTCGGACAAACAAGTTACTGAACAGTGCGCGAAAGCCAACAAATTCCTCAGCTTTGTGCATCGAGCCTCTAGGTGCATCCAAAGCACCCAAACGCGTCGCACACTATATCAATCTATCATCCGGTGCCATCTCGGCTACGCAACCCAATGGTCGCCACCGTTCATTGGCCTACTAAGCAAGTTAAAAACGTACAGCGGCGTGCAACAAAATTTTGAAGCTTCCCTACCGTTGCGATGTAACTTATAAGACCCGCCTTTAACTAACGAACCTGTTACCTATCTCGTATTGGTACAAATTTTTGGATATAGTCTTTCTCTATGAAGCTGTAAACAACTTAGTTTTCATAAATAGTGCAGCTCTACGTGTAACTAGACAATCAACGAGATCTACCAGGTCATCGAGCAGCAATGCTATTACTTACATCCCTAAGCGAAGTAGAACTGTTACTCATTAACGCTCTTTTTCCATACGCGCATGCCGCATATGGAATGTTCTACCCGCTGAGTTACGCACAAGTCACATATCCCTAGCTTCATTTAAGCGTTCACCACTTCAAGATTGCAATAAGGCCCTAGATCAGTACGACGTTGACGACATCTGAACCCGCAGAACAATATGTCCAAGGTGCAATATAGCGAGGACTCTCGTCTACCCGCCGTCGTCCTTTTTCTAGCTTTTTATTTATTTTCTTTTTTTGTTTTGATATAAGTAGCTTCAGTTATCATTTTTCATTAACGAGGGATCCATTGTAATTGGCTAGGCTGTTGTGGTCTCCCTGCCTAAGATTTCTATGTTTATAAGTAATGTATTCTAATTAGGCGAAGCTAAATAAATAAAGTTTTTTTCGTTCCGCTCGATACGCGTCTCGGCTCTCTCTCGGCTCTCTCTCGGCTCTCTCTCGGCTCTCTCTCAGCTGCAAGCTTTATCTAGAGTTCGCGTACCGCTTTTTTGCTTTTGCCAAATTTGACGTCATTTGTGATCTATAACTGAACATGCACAAGGTGAGATACAATGCATTTGTTGCGCAGGGTGAATAATCAAAGTGAAGACCTACGATAGTTGGATTGTAAAGGTCTTCATCTTTTGACACTCAGTATTTGTAATAATATAGCGTCTCCTTACAATCTCAACACATTGCCCAGCAGAAGTGTGAATATAATACGATAAATAAAAAAGGAACTTTTCTTCTAGGACTTCCCTATAGCCTTTTTCCGAATTACCTTTTGCCTTTTTTTTTCGAAGCAAGTCCTGGTGCTCATCCTTTCATGTAAGAATACGTTTTCATTCACATGCAAATTAAACTCATTTTCACAAAAATGGTTGAGCACCTGGCCTCGTTTTGAAAAAGAGGCCACAGGTGATTTGGAAATGGCCTATTTAGGGCGATAACTCTATTCAAGGAAACAAACTCTTATAGTCTTTGTGTGTCGGTTAAATTTATTAAGAGGAGAAATGTTAGCGGAAAAGTTTTTCACGTCCCAAGCGTGCCCTCGGAAGAGAGGTTTAACTGCACGGAGAATGTATCACCCTGATGTAAAATCATTTCCTCAGAGCTCACATTCACAGAAATGTCTCGCGCCCATGAAGGAGATTAAGCTTTACATCAAAATATACCTCATCAACACATACCAACCATCAGCAGTGCTGTCTGAGACACATAGGAGTGGGCCGGTAGTTTTGGCAACAACGAGAGAATGGCGGGAATAAAACTCTGCTCTGTGGGTTCAACATACTCAGCAACAGACTGGATCAAGTACAGTGTAGCATCTACAAACTGTGCAGAGAAACAACTTAAAATGAAGCTACTCTCTCAGACATAACAACAGCCAAACCTGCATTAAGCGGCGCCGCAGCAAGCGGTCACCAACTATTAAGCGGTCGGTTTTCAAGGTTCCGAAACTTTTACCCGTTAATTACTGTAATTTCACCTCTATTTAAGCGATCAAAGTCACCCTTCACTAAGTTCCAACGGCCTCTTTGTATTCTCCTCCACATGTCTTGAACGGTCTCTCAAAACTTTAGCACTCAAATAAAACTAAGAAACAATCTTCAACGTAAAAATTGAATCATATCTATCTCCCGAAATTAATGTTGGTAGTATTGATGAGCGAAACTTTTAATTAAATGGTGAATTATGGCAAAGAATGGCGTTTTTTAATGGTTTATATAATAATCCCCAAAGGTGACCGCTTAATATAGATTCAATTGTAGTTGAGGCACCTTTTTGGAACACAACTATCGCTATTCTTTCGTTTATAATGCCAAATCAGCTAAATGTCAAACAAACCCTTTTATTGTTGGCAATGATTTATGAATAAATTCCTATTACAATTTCTTAACCCTTTCAAGGGGACAGCGTTGAGAATAAGGAAAATCATCATAATGAAACATTAAATTCTCACAGAGGCGTAAGGTTAGCGGAAGTCACCATTGGAGTGATGATGACTTCTGCTCAGGTTGCCCAAAGGTCAGACAACACTACCGACAAAAGTCCTTGTCAAGACCACACACACCCGGAAGATCACACTACACTATCAAACGAATAATCATGGTATCGTGTTGTAATCACATCCCTTGTGGATTGCGACGTTGCGCCAATCACAGCTGTAGCATACAAGCCAATCACAGCTGTAGAACACAAGCCAATCACAGCTGTAGTACACAAGCCAATCACAGCTAAGCGCAAGGTGATGTGTACCCACCCAGTCGACCTTATTGTCTGGAAAAGACCCGTACTAGCTCAACCTCCCGGTTAGCTCAATGGATAGAGCGCTGGACTGTTGTGCGGGAGGTCGAGGGTTCGAGCCCCGCTCGGACCAACACTCAGGGTCTTAGAACAATTGAGAAGAATTTGCTGCCTTTCTATAACATCAAGAAATGGTTAGATATTCTAGTCTTCTCGGATAGGGACGAATAAATGGAGGTCCCGTCTCCTGCAAGGTTGGGGTAGGAGACGTTAATTTCCCACACACGAGATTACTGTTTGATGGATGTCCTCCCCTGGGGTGGGATGGGTGGGAAGGTGAGATCGATAGACTGAAGCGGCTGCCAGAGGCGCCTGATATGCTGACGTCTGTTCTCAACCTTACACTGCACCCGTAATTCAGCCTCTGGGCTGCAAGTGGTCAGATATAAACTATATTCATATTCATATTCAAAACAAACATCATGACACCTGAGTAGACCTGGATCCGAGATATATGACCAATCAGATGGCACGTAAGAATCACAGCGCGTACTCAAATCGGCGTATACTCTCACACAAGAAATCGTGCACTTTTGCTCAGACGGAGTTTAGAATAAACGGCGGGTGAACTCAGGCTAACATCTGGTTCCTTTTCCAGTTTATCCCAATGTGACTGGTTGT